GATTTCAAAATGGCTCGGGGAGCAGGTTACTCTCCTAAAACCACAATTTTTTCCATTTTAATTCTCAGTCACCAGGGAAGTCTCTGCTTGCACCTGAGTCCTGGAGAGAAATATTAAAATAGGTAGCATGGGGTATTTTTGTACTCTATAAACTTCCGGTCCACTTTCATACCTCTCAAAGCTTAGCAACAGCAGGAAGCGACAGTGTGTCAGAAAACTCAAGTAAGTCTCCATTCTACAAACCAGAAAACTGAGTCTATGGGGTAAGCCCTGGCCCCAAGAATCTGCAAAGGAGCAAAAGTAACCCTTCTGGGAGCCACACTGAAGTCTCCTAGGCATATTAATTAGCAGTAGCTCATTAATATGTGTGTCATAACTGGCATCAGTAACATTAGTGAGAAATATCACTACTGTGTTTACAAATGATGTGTATATGAATGTTACGCATCTGATTCGATACACATGTGTGCTTATATTGAATAAAGCATGTTTTTAAAATCTGAAGACATTTACAGAAATGCCCTTGAGAGGCATAATTTACAAGCCTTACAAAGAGGAGGTATAAATCATGGGCATAAGATCCCCAGAAAAAAAAGAGCAGAAAGTGGGAGCTCTGTGAAAGCGAGCTGCCTGAACAGGATTGCCCTGTGGCACTGCCCAGAACAGGAGAGATCTGCTTACAGGAACCATCAGGGACCCTCTTCACGGGGCCTGGGTTTGCTCAGTTTCAACCCTAGTCCTGACCTCAACTCCCATACATTCGTCTTGTGTATTCTCCCAAAAACCTGGCTAGGGGGTTTAAATATCAATATGAACACGCCACTCCTGCTAAATGTCCACTCCAATCCCACCTTCCTCTCCTTGAATGTTTCACTCTCTTGTTCACTGTCACTCCTTCTGGTCCTGGAATATTGGGGTGCTCCATCTGAGAGGTTTCCCCTCATGAGTTCCCCAGATGGTCTAACAGCTGTCCTGCATGACCCTCACTAGCCATCCCATCTACAGAGGGCTCTCAATCTGCAACATCCGCCTGTGACATGTTCTCCATCACAGCACCCTTGTTGGAATCGATTTGCATGCTTAGCCCCAGATGTGTCCCACACTAAACTAAACTCAAAGTTCTATGAGAACAACAGCCTCTGTTCTCTTCTTGGTCTTTTTTTTTTTCATGGTCTCTACAGAGTGCACTGGGCCCCACACGTACCTCCATGAAATAAACAAGTTTTTAAGAGGATCAAAAAGTACTTGAGTGGGAAGCAAAATCTCTCTAATATCCCAAGATATTAGAGATATCCCAAGATATCTCAAGATCCCAAGTCCAAGTAAGGAACAAGGAGGAGCACAGACTGAGTCTGTGAAGTGCTTCAGTTCACGGAGCAGTGCAGAGAATTAACTCCGTGGTGAAATCGTTAGACTGTGCCCACTTAGGCTTTCTGACGCCCGGCTGAGTGGTCCTGCTCTGATTTCTTAGCCACTTGCTTGGTTTCTGTTCGATTTCGGAATCAAGGCTGAGCCTCCGGATGAGCATACAAAAGGTGCTTCAGTAACTTTAAATGAGGCATGTGCGTCCCTGTGTGTATATACATGTGTATCTGTGTGTGGCTGTGTTTTTATTATTAAACCACAGGTATGTAAGTATTCTAAAGCTCAAAATTATAGACACGGTTGCACACATGCCACTTTCAATCATATTTGATGTCATGAAGAGCAAGTCTATGGGACTTTGGAATTTGAAATAGTCATTCAGAAGCTCATGAGCACTGGGAAAAACAGAGAATGGGGCTCAATGAAAACGCACCCCAGTAGCCCAGGCACTCGTACTTATGGAGGGACAGGTGGGGGCCTATTACTCCTGGACAATTCCCCAGTCCTGGGGTCTGAGGACCACATGATGTGAAGGCACCAGAACAAGCTATCAAACACAGCAAGTGGGGCGCCAACAGCCTCTGTGTCCACATACCATGCCCACAGCGGAGCCAAGCCCAGTGGTGGCTTCTTCCCCTGTCATCCTCCAATAACGAGATTGATCTGCTGCCGAATAAAAGATAATGCAATCTCAAGGAAATAATTTATTTCCTTGGAGAATTTGTGGTGTCAGTGTGGCAAGTCAGCTTCCATCTTCTGTCTGCCAAGATGTCCAACAGACCCCCAACTATGCGGGGACCCCCTCAGGCAAAGAGGCCTCACAGTTCCTGAAGTATTACCCACTGGCAAGGAATTTGGTCCCCAGCTGCTCTTGTGCCTCAGTCACGTCCAAGCCGGAAGAGCCTGGGGGTCCCTAGTTGGGTCAGGGGGTCACCACTATTCAGTGTTGACCCGTGACAGTGAGATTCAGAAATAAGCCCATGGCTCTGATCATTTGGAGTCAGTGGGTTACTTTACATCAAGCACAATTCCCAGCCCTTGTGTCTCAGATGGATGTCACAAGCCTGGCTGTGTTTAAAGCATAGAAAAAGAGGGATGAGAGGTCCGAAAAATAGTATAGCAAGTCAGACACATGTCCAACATCTGGGCAATCTGGGTTCTACCCCAGCACCAACCCAGTTTCCACCTCTGGCACCCCATATGTCCCCCAAACCTGGCAGGAATGATCCCTGAACACAGAACCTGAAATGCTTATTGCCCTTAACGCAGCCAAGTGTGAGCCCTACACACATATACAAAGAGTGGATGAAGTCCTGATTTAAAGCAGTTTCTCAAAAGGAGCAACAGGCAGAGGGTCAGTAGTAGTCTCAGATATACTGGTGGGGGGTGGAGGGAAGGGGCGAGAAATACATTTCTATGTGTTCCCTAAAGAGCATAGATTTCTGTGCTAGAGAGACAGTGGAGCAGGTGAGTTCCTGGCCTTGTACACAGCCTGTGCAGGTTAGGGCTCATCTTGAGCACCACATATGATTCCCCCAGCACTACCAAAGTGATCCCTGAGCACAGAACCAGGAATAGCTCTGAGCAGCCCCAGGTATGGCCCAAATCGTCCTCTCTCCTAAAGAAGGTAAAAACCTTAAGGGGTGCTGGGAAGGACAGTGAATACTTTTGCTCCTTTTTTTTTTTCTGGAAGGGGATAGTAGGAAATTTAAGTTTAGGGGCCTCGGGTTTAGCCCCCATAAGACGGAGAGCTATTTAGCCTGGGTCTGACAGCTGTCACCTGAACGTGTGACAAGTCTTCATTCCAGAGGCAGTGCATGGCCAGAAGCAAGGGTGGGAAGGCAGTACCAGCTGGTGTTCTTCCACCATCATTTCACAGAACTTCTCTCTCCCCAGGAGACGAAAAAGGTCACGGCCACGTAAATAATTCACCAGAGCCAGTTCAATTCTCTGCACCTGAAATCCTAGGACAATCCTATAAAGCAACCGCCACCCACCACGGGCAAGGCAGGAGGCTGACTGATCTCGTCTCCACAAGAGGCTGCCAAACCCCACTAGCCAGCGATTTGCAGATGATTTTCGAACTTTTGCTCTGCATATGATTGCGACTGACAAGCAAATCCCGTCCATCAAAAAGTATGACTGATCTTCGGAGAAGGCAAACTTGACATCAGCTGTCTGAGAAGCCATTTTGCTTATCGACTGCAGCCACCAGGCATGCTCAGGACACGGTGGAGAAAAGCCTTTTCTCAACGAAAACAGTAGCCCCTGAGAACTCCAGGAAAAATTCCTCAAGCCCTTGTGCTTTACGCCTCCAATGGAAAAATGTAATTCAGCACTGGGTGGTGCTTAACATTCTAGTCCGTCGGAATTATAAAATCCTGCCCCCACAGCAGGCCTTTGCACCGCCAATGTGTCGGGGCCAAGCAAGGCTCTGATGGTTGCTCTCTCCTTGGCCAGGCACCTTTCCCATTCTGTTCATCTTAGTCTCTAGCCAAATGGAACTTATTACTTATAGCTGGTTGGGATGCATGAATTATTTATAGAAGTCGGTCTATGCCTCCAGACTCTGAAAAGACAATACAACAGTCCTCTCGCTGACCCCCCTCTCCTCCCCACTGTACAGTTTAGACCCATCAGAGAAGACGCCTTGAGGCTGGGATGGAACCAGGGTGAACACCGTGAGCCTGCACAGCGATTCGGAAGCAATCTGGTGTGTCTTGGAAGTCTTTTCACAAAAATCTCTGACTTTCTGAGCTGGGATCAGCACGGCCAAGGGCGGACAGGGCCCTGAGGGTGGACACATTCCTCAGCTGCCTGAGGCTGGGCCAGGAGCCAGACAGAAACGCCCCATGCCCATGTGCACCAGGAAGGACACACCTCTGCCCACATGTACCAGGATGGACACGCCCCACTTCCACATGTTCCAGGGTGGACACGCCCCCCCTTCCCACGTGTACCTGGACACCCCCCCCTTTCCAGATGTATCTGGACATGACCCTTCCCACCTGTACCAAGAAGGACATGTCCCCTTCACATGTGCACCAAGCCAAACTTGCCCTCTCCCATGTGTCCTGCAGGTTCTCCAAGCTTCACTAACAAGGTTCTGTGTCTGTTCCTGGACACAGGCGTGTGCAGACTGAGTGAAAGGCCAACCCCAACCAAAGAGGTCCCCGGGAACACAGCACATGATTATCCAACAAAACAGACCCGACCTCACACCCCACTCTCTTCCAGCTCTGTCTCCGTCAGACATGGGCCCAGTTTAGGGCAGGGGGGCACATCTGGGTTAAAGGTGTCATGTCTTCACGGGAAACCACCCACACCACCCCAAATGCCACATGTTAGCCAGGCAAGACGACCCCCACATGATAATAGCCCTTGGAGCTGGGATGAAGCAACAGCAGGGGTTGTCCGTCCACCCCTCTTCCTGAGACCTGTTCTCAGGAGGCTCACAAGCCCCACAGCCTCCCTGTTCCCTGAAAGAGGCCTAGTCATTTCTCCCACCCACCCCCAACTCAGTGTTCCCACCCAAAAGCAACAAGGAAGCCCATCAGCCTCTGTGTGGACAGCTCTGCAGTTCCCAAGAGAGCAAGGTGAAAGGAAGAGCAGAAAGGAAGAGGTGGCAGGCTTACCTTGCTGGAAAACATCTGCCAGGAGGGAGGAAGCAAAAGGGAGAGAGAAAATAAAACAATAGATTAATAGTGATGGCAACAATCCTGACGCAAAAACCCACAGCCGGCAAGCTAGGACTCTTCCTATAATATGCCCTTGAAAGTGGAGACAGTGTTTGGAACAAGGCTGCAGGGTTTACATCCAGATATACAACTCTGTGGTTTACTGTCCCCTACACCACATCTAGGAAGTGCTCGAAAGATGAGACGCTATGTCTTCTGTCTTACTGTTTGATTTTTATTGTAACACTGTGATTTACCAAGATGTTCATAATACACTAGTTTCAGGCATTACATTTCCCGACACCAATCCCACCACCAGTGTTACTTTCCCTCAACCAGTGTCCTCAGCTTTCCACCCACCACTCCAGCCTTCCCCCTTAGCAGGTTCAGACAAATTTACTTCACGTTGTTTGTTCTAAAACAAAGGCACTTGGAATTATCGAAACATAGAGCAATAAAAGTCAATGTGTGATCATTGTTATATCTCACAATGGTGTTAATGAAGTCACTGAGGATTACCTAGTACTTCTGTACTAGTTATGCCTTCTGTGTTATTGTTTAGACTTACTGAGATTGATGGTCTTCTATGCTATGGTCATCAGATTAGCTATGAATCTACTGGGCTGACAGTACTATGAAATTTGGAGCTATGGAACTGGAATGATTTGGTGGCTTAGCAGTTTGATGAGGTTCAGTTGTGGAACTGGATGGGGCTGCTGTGCCTTCAGGCAGAAAGGGGAATCTGCCCTCTCCCATTTTGAGATGGTCCCAGAGGCATCAGCCAGGACCTGTCTGTCTAGCTAGGAAGATTCAGTGGTATCATGTTTTTTTTTTCAAGATTAGTTATGAGTTGTTTTTCTGCCAGAGTTCCCATTTATAAGCATAGAAATAGTCAGGCTAATTTTATAGTTTGCACATAATCCATCTGGGTTTAATCCCAGCACCACACCCCCATGTCCTGGTAGAAGATCCCTGATCACAGATTCAGGAGTCAGTCCTGAGCACACAAACCAAACGAGACAGGATTTAGGCACCCAGTCCCAGGAGAGCTGCTGAGAGATTATGCCTTATGATTTAAAAAGACATCTGGAAAACATACAAAATACACATTTGAAATATTCTTGCAACGACCAAATAAAGTTAGGGTTATTCCTCTGGCTACAGAGGTGAGGAAACTAAGACTTCAAGAGAAGTCACTCCTCTCAGACTACAGAGAAATAAGAAAGGGGTGCACTGTGAAGTTCCCCAAATCACCTTCCTACTACACACACCTGAGATGTCTGAACTCATCTCAGATGTGATAAATAGCAACAGTAGCAGCAGACACAAAAGGAGAAATGGAGGACAGACCACAAAGGTACTAGAGTTCACTTGTTTAAATCATACAAGCGAACGATTAGTATGAGCTTGCCACATATAAGCCTTTGTACTGAGTTCCGCATCAAAATTAAAAGATGAAATATATAGTAATGTTTTAGCAAAAACTTGAGAGGTTATTATATACTGTGCACTAAATCTGGAATTGAGAAATATGTGTCCACCAACACCATGTATGGAAAGGTAGTAACAGGGGCTACGTGAGCAGGTCAGGGATCAGGAGTGGATGACTGGTACAGGAAAGGCCACAGATACCAACCACATTTTTAAAAATTTCATACCATTGCATAGTCCCTTTAGTTCCACCTATGAAGTACTGGAAGCTCATAGAACTGCTTGTCATAAGGTGCTCTGCATCACTGGTCCAAGCATTGAACCACCTAGCCAAGATGGCAAAATAAATATTACTGGGAGTGGCCCCAGAGGCCCTGGAACTAAAACAAAATAGAATAAGCAGTCACCACACACACCCACTGCATGACTCCTAACCTTGTTCACTGGGTTGTATCTTGTGTGTGTGTGTGTGTGTGTGTGTGTGTGTGTGTGTGTGTGTGTATGTGTGTGTGTCACCCAAAATAAAACTTTTTAAAAAATTTTATTGAATCTCCATGAGACAGTTACAAGCTTTCATGTTTAGGTAACAATCACACAATGATCAAACACCCATCCCTCCACCAGTGCACATTCCCCACCCCAATATCCCCGGAATATCTCCCCATTCCCACCCTCCCTTTGTCTCCATGGCAGACATGATTCCCCATGTTATCTCTCTACTTTTGGGCATTAATGGTTCGCAATACAGACACTAAGAGGTTATCATGTTTGGCCCTTTATCACACATCTCCTATCCCTACTGATTCCTCCAGCCACCTTTTTCTTAGTGATCCCTTCTCTATTCCAGCTGCCTTCTCCCCTTTGCTCATGAGGTAGGCTTCCAGCTATGGAGCAATCTATCGGTCCCATGTATCTACTGTCCTTAGGTGTCAGCCTCATGTTATGTTGTTTTATACCCCACAAATGAGTGCAGTCCTTCTATGTCTGTTCCTCTCTTTCTGACTCATTTCACTTAGCAAGATACTCTCCATGTCTATCCATTTATAAGCAAAGTTCATGACTTCATCTCCCCTGACAGCTGTATTCCACTGTGTAGATATACCAAAGTTTCTTGAACCAGTCATCTGTTCTAGGGCACTTGGGTTGTTTCCAGATTTTGGCTATTGTGAACAGTGTTGCAATGAACATATAGGTACAGATGTCATTTCTACTGTGCTTTTTTGAATCCTCGGGATATATTCCCAGAAGTGGTATTGTGGGGTCATATGAAAGCTCAATTTCTAGTTTTTGAAGAACTGTCCATATTGTTTTCCAGAAAGGCTGGACTAGTGGGCATTCCCACCAATAGTGAAAGAGTGTCTCTTTTTCCCCACATCCAAGCCAGCACTGGTTGCTTTTGTTCTTTGGAATGTGTGCCAGTCTCTGTGGTGTGAGATGATATCTCATTGTTGTTTTGATTTGCATCTCCCTGATGGCTAGTGATGTGGAGCATTTTTTCATGTGCCTTTTGGCTATTTTTATTTCTTTTGGGGGGAAATTTCTGTTCATTTCTTCTCCCCATTTTTGATGGGGTTGGAGGTTTTTTCTTGTACAATTCTACTAGTGTCTTGTATATCCTGGATATTAATCCCTTATCAGATGGGTACTGGGTAAATATTCTTTCCCATTCTGTGGGCTCTTTCTTTATTTTGGTCACTGTTTCTTTTGAAGTGCAGAAGCTTCTTAGTTTGATGTAGTCCCATTTGTTTATGTTTGCTTCCACTTGCATGGTCAGTGCTGTTTCATCCTTAAAGATGTTTTTAGCTTCAATGTTGTGAAAAGTTCTGCCTACATTTTCCTCTATGGACCTTATGGATTCATGTCTGATATCGTGGTCTTTAATCCACTTTGATCTGACTTTTGTGCCTGGCATTAGACAGATGAGAGCGTTCATTTTTTTTGCAGGTACCTATCCAGTTTTCCCAGCACCACTTGTTGAAAAGGCTTTCCTTGTTCCACTTCACATTTCTTGCCCCTTTGTCAAAGATTAAGTGGTCATAAGGGTTGTATCTCTTCCAGAACTGTCTTGTAGTATAACACTGTTTTGTCCTTCCTGCATAGCCTCAGGTAGGTTAGGTTTATTGGGTTGCTCCCATCACAGTGCTCCCACTCCTCTGTGTTTATTTGTAACTTCTTTCTTTGTTCTATTGACTTGTAAATATTGTTTTTCTCTTCTCCCTAAATCCCTTGCATAGTTTATTCAGAAGAATGTCCTTTTTGTAAGGACACAAGAAGACAGTATATGCTATGCTTTTGTAACATGACTCTCAGTGATATTTTCCTCTGGGGCATCTGTTCTCTGGACCTAAGCCTCAGCTGCCCTACTTCCTAGCACCCCCAAAAGCAGGGTCCCAACAAGGGACTGGATGGAACCAGGGCAAGCGGTAAGCTATGTGCTATCCTGGCATCAAGATGGGCCTAGCCAAAGTGCCATAATGCTTAACTATAAGTTAAGAGCTTGGTCAAGGACAAATGCTGTCATGATCCAAAAAAGCAGTAACTAGATTCGGACCCTGGTAGGGTTAGGAAAGATTAATCTGGCCTGAGCTCTGTAGTTTGAGTCTGTGGCAAGATGTTCCCAGGAGAGCTGCCCTACAAAGCCTCAATGTATCTCTTACTGTGTCTATACAAAAATAACTAGTATTAAGATGTTGAAAGAGTTATTGGACTAAGGTAAGGAGAAAAACACCTTAAGAGATAGTTTGCCCTTGGGCAGTAAGGAAGGGTTTTGGATTATCCTTAGATGATGTTTCAGCCCTTGGGCCTGGCACTCAGGAAGGGCTTTCTTATGTTGATTTGACTACCTAATTGAGTGAAGTGTTGGCTCAGAGTGCTGGGGAGTTGGAGAGTCTGGAGAGCTGAAGAGAGATGAGGGAGAGAACAGGGCGGCAAAACGGAGTGCGGAGAGACTAGCAATAAGGACAGAGAGAAGGATGTAGAAGAAGAATACAGGAGCAGGCGCGTGGAGAGAGAGAGAGAGCCCAGGCTGTGAGATGGAGCTCAGAGAGATGAGCAGGAGAGACCGGAGGAGACTGAATGAGGGGCATTGTGAGACTAGAGTGGGGGTTAAGAGAGACGCGGGCAGGCACATGGGAAGAATAGATTAAACGGCAACTGATCAATCAACCGGCTTGGCCCTCATTTCCTCCGCCATCTGCCCCATGGCCCGGGCCTCCCTGGATTGGGGGGTGGCCCGGGACCCCCTCAAACCTGGACAGCCAGAGGGAGAGCTGCCAGGGCCTGTCCTGGCCGCTTGGAGATTATTATACACTGTCTGAGTGGATGGCAGACAGAGAAATGGGTTCTAGTGTCTTAGCTGCTCAGCTGTGGTTGTGGGCATCATCCGAACGGGAGAAAGTCCTCATCTATTTATCCTCCACTGTGTGATGATAACCAAAGTCAATCCCACACTCTGCAGTGGATGGATATTTGGACTGTTCTCAGAATCCAGCACTGGCAATTAGGAATTCCACTGACTCTTTTCACAGCTAGCTGACGGGGAA